TTTCAGTACCTATGCTTAAACTGCCCCCTGGCTGAACACTCTTCTCTTTGGCTTCCTGGGTTCCACCCCTTCCTCCTGCTCTTGTTTCAGTACCTGTGCTTAAAACTTCCTGGATTCCATCCCTTCCTCCTGCTCTTGTTTCAGTACCTGTGCTTAAAGTTCCCTCTCATCCTAGTATACAGACATAATTGGCATAATTGAGTCATTATTAGTTTGATATTATGTCTTAGGAGGCTGATGAATTAGATCCTGTCTAGGGCATTGATGATCTTTTGGCAAAGAGACAAAAGCCATAACTTCTGCACAAAAGTGATTTGCTTCTGCTCGTGTTTTAACTAGTCATAAAAATTTGACCATTAGCAGGCCAGGGATATGTGATTTTTCCTCAGGGAAATGGGCACTACAGGGAAGGGCAGCTAATACTGTGAATGGTAATATAGCCTACCACAGATTTTTAAATAGATGAATGAAATGATAACATTTTTGTGTTAGAAAATTATTTTTGTACAGAATAGAAATATTTTTGTAGGATATTGAAATAGGATCAAATGCGGGTCCCTGCCCGGTGCACAGTCAGGCTAAAACAGTTTATACACCACATGATTAAGCGGAGAGAAAATTATTTATTACAAAGTGGCAATGCAAGGAGTAGGGGTACACATACCCAGGTCTGACTCCCCGAAACTCCATCAAATTACAGTTTTGTAGGTTTCAGAAGAGAGGGTTATAAAATTTCAGGAATTTGGGCATGAGATGGTTGATGATTGTCTGAAATTTCCTTTGCCTCCGTTTAAAGGGACAGTAGTGTTTTGAACCAGTGCACCTGCATACTGGATGAGTCATGCCAGCTTCCTGTCATCAGCTGATCGGGGCTTAGGCAGAGGAGAGAGTGTTAGTTCCCAGTAACTTTGTTCCTTTCTGCCCCATTGTGCATGTGTGCAGGCCAGAGTTAATTTTCAAGTTGTTTTCTAAGACACATTAATACATTTATCATCTGTGCCTAAGGAAATAGCAGGAAAGAATTTTTTTTTTTTTTCATTCAGTTCTTAAGGAACTGTTCTTAAGCTTATTGTATTTACTCATCTGTTTCCAACCGGGCTCCTATGTGTTTACTAACTGGGGTCTGGGGCGAGGAAATAGTTGGGGTGGGGAAATAGTTGAGGGTAATTAAATTTACTTATCTATTCCCATCCAGGGTCCTATCTGTTCTAATTGTCTGTTTTAACCAGGGTGGGGAAAATAGTTTTGACTTTACTTGGTTTGAATATCTCTAGGAAATCTAGGGAGATTTGAGATATTGTCCTCTCCCTTAATTATTTTATAATGAGTTTTCTCAAGTTATTCTCTAATTTCTCTCTTCTATTTTCTAGCCGGACTGTGACCAGTATAAATTACCAGGATGTCCGAGGGACTTAAGCCCTGTGTGTGGGAGTGACATGGTCACATATCCCAATGAGTGTAGCCTGTGCATGAAAATAAGGTAACAATTTTACAGCTATCAACTATCCAAGTTTTCTTATCTTTAATTTTGATTACTGAAGATTATTTTCGTGGGGCTAAATATCATATGTGACATCATTGGCTCTCAGTTTTCAGACTAATATTTAAAAAGATGCAACATCTTTCAGTGAGGTGTGTGATTATCTGTAGACCAGCTAATCAAGTTATGTTACTATCCATGGATGAGCACTGTCCCAAAATTAAGAGTAGATATAGTTAGACTCCATGGAATATTAAATTTTCTTTTAAATTCAGAGGGCACATGCAGGTCATCTGCACATGAGGTACTGTGCTGGCTAATAAATATGACAATAGCTCTACTTAATAGAATACGAAGTTATAAGTTTATTATGCTTGATGCCCTTCATGTACCATACCAAACCAGATGACCATGACTCCCTCTTCCAGGTATGTTGTTTTTTATTTCAGGGAGTCCATCCTCTGATCTCAGTCTCAGAATGATTCTTTGGAATTAATGATCTTTGCTCTAGGGTAAGGAAAACAAGGAGAGAGTTGGGATTTTCACCTAGTTAAGTTTTCCTTGGTTTAACTTTAGAAGGGATCATCATCATCATCATGACATAGATGTTTTTAATATAAATATTGGGACAGTTTCAGTATGCTAGGTAATAATAATTTTATGTTTGTTTACTTGCAGGGAAGTTGGTAATGATATTAAAATAGTCCAAAGTGGACCATGCTGATGGAGCAGCTTACAGAAAAAAGGATGGAGAAACACCTTAGTCTGGACACATTAGATGAATTTCAGCTTTCTCTTTTTCTCTCTTCCTGTATTTCTTAACATGATATTTGTTGATCCATGTTTTCTGAGAGGACATGTGGAAGAGACCCTAATAAATTTCTTGCTTTCTTGCCTTTTGTCCTTTGAGTTAAGTTTATTGCCCAATGAGTTGTGGATTGCCTTATTTAGGTGGAAATAAAATCAGCATTGTATTCATAATTACAACTGTTTTGAGTTAAAAATGGCATTCTCACTCATCAGCTTCTCAGTGGGTTTTTTTCCCCCTCAGGCAAAGGTGAATTCCACTAACCACAAAATGGAGTGATTGTTGAGATGGCAAAATTTGTTCTAACTACCCCTTTTTCTGATCCTGGGATAAATGGATAATTAACTTATATGTAACTGGTACATTGCTCTGCACATGATAAATAATTGTGAGTTACTTGGACCTGACTTTAAGTCAAGTTGGTAAAGTCAAAGAATCATAAAAAAGAAAAAATGAAAAACTCACTGCCATTGAGTCAATTCTGACTTATAGCAGGACTTATAGTAGGACAGAGTAGACCTGCCCCATAGAGTTTCAAAGGCTGTAAAACTCTCTACAGAAGCAGACTGTTTCATCTTTTTCCCATGGAGTGGCTAGTGAGTTAGAACCACTGACCTCTTGGTTAGGAGGCAAATGCTTTAACCACAGTGCCACCAGAGCTCCTTAAAGAATTGTAGAAATAAAAAAATATTTACTAGATTTAGTATCTCCTTTCAGTGTAGTCCCCCTTCAGAACTAACACTGGGAGCTCTGGTGGCTTAGTGCCTAAGGCACTTGACTGCTAACCAGAAGGCTGGCAGTTCAAACACCCCAGCCACTCCTCAGAAGGAAGGTTGGGCAATCTACTTCTGTAGTGATAATGCCTTAGAAACCCAAGGAAGGGGCACTAAGAGTCAGCTCCAACTCCACGGCAGTGAGTTTGGTTATGGTTTGGTCAGAACTAACACAGGAATTTGGTTTTCTCATCCTTTTAAAGCAGTGATTCTTAACAAATGCAAGTTTTACCCCAGGGGGCATTTGGTAATATCTGAAGACATTTTTGGTGTCACAGCTGAGGATTTGTTGCTACTAGCATCTAGTGCTTAGAGGTCGAGGATGCTGCTAAACATTCTACAATGCACTGCACAGCCCCCAAGAACAAATAATTATTGGCCTGAAATATCAGTAGTGCTGAGGTTGAGACACCCTGTTTTAGAGCGTGATACAACATAAAGAATAAACGTCTGAGATTAACTCAGAATTATGGGATTTTCCAGGTAGAGAGTTTTCAGTCATAAGTCCTGGGCATAAGTGTGATTTAGCATCAGAAAACAGATGTTAGGCAAGAGGCAGTTGGGAGAGTAGTGCAGTGGTGAGAGCATGGCTTTTGGGGGGGGTCAGCTAAACTTGACTTTGGATTCTAATTCCAATGTTTCTTTGTACTTCAGTTTTTCAGTCTGAAAATGGGGATAATACTTAATTCATGGAGCTGTAGTGAGGAAGCTGCTTAGCATAATGCTTGGCATGTGGAAACCATTGAAATGTCATTGTTCAGTGCTGTCCAGTTGATTCCAACTCATAGCAACCCTATCTACAACAGAATGAAACATTACTGGGTCTTGCACCATTCTCATAATTGTTGCTGTATCTGAGCCTATTGTGCAGCCACTGTGTCAATCCATCTCTAAGGATCTTCCTTTTTTTCACCAACTCTCCACTTTACCATGCACCATGTCCTTCTCTAGCGACTGGTTCTTCCTAAAAATGTGATCAAAGTACAAGAGCTGAAATCCTCATTTCTAAGGAGCAATCTGGCTGCACTTCTTGCCGTCTTTGCTTTCTAACTTTAAAGACGTCTATTGCAACAGATTTGCCTAATGCAATACATCATTTGATTTCATTTGATTTGTTGCTTCCACAGGCATTGATTATAGTTCTAAGTAAAATGAAATTCTTTGACAACTTCATTTTTTGTTTTTTCTTTTTACATGATGTTTGTGGTGGTTATGTTTGTCTGTCAACTTGGCTGGGCCTGGTTGAGTGGCTGGGCAGCTGGTGGTAGTTATTCCCCGTGATGAGACTGCAATCAATCAACTCTATGGTGGGATCTACCACAAGCAGCTGAGTAGCTGCTTTTGGGATGCGGTCTGCTTCCTGTATATAAAGAGAAGCTTTGAGAATGGTCTCTAGCCTTTGGCACGCTTGGACCCTGCATGTAGCCTGCTATGTTTTGCCAACCTTGGGACTTACAATGGATTTAAGTTAATGTCCTGCCATGTGGTTTTTTAACATTGGGACTGTGCCTTTTTACTTGTGACTTTCTTTCTTGGAGTTTCACAGCCTCAGCAGCTAGCAGCTGTCTGAGTAAAGAAACGCCTCTAGCTCCAGTGGGCTGGGAGCAGGAGGCAGAGCTTGATCCCAAGGTTGAGGAGCTTTCACCAAGCCCCTAGAGCCTGGCACTTTAAACTTGGACTTAAAGCCTCCAAATTGTAAGAATAAACTCCTGTTTGTTAAGGCCATCCCATTTGTGGTATATTCTTGTCAGAGTGACACTAGGTAACCAGAACAATGTTGTTTATTGGTCCAGTTGTGAAGAGTTTTGTTTTCTTTATGTTGAAGTGTAAACGATACTAAAGACTGTGGTCTTTGATCTTCATTAGTAAGTGCTTCAAGTCCTCTTTGATTTCAATGAGCAAGGATGTGTCATCTGCATATTGCAGGTTTTTAGTGAGTCTTCCACCAATCCTGATGCCATGTTCTTCTTCACACAGTGTAGGTTTTCAGATTATTTGCTCAGCATATAGATTAAGTATGGTGAAAGAACACAACCCTAACTCACATTATTCCTGATTTTAAACCATACACTATTCCTTTGTTCTGTTTGAATGACTACCTCTTTGTCTATGGACAGATTCCTCATGCAAACAATTAAGTGTTCTGGAATTCCCATCTTTCAAAATGCTACTCATAATTTGTTATGATCCACACAGTCAAATGCCATTGCATAGTCAATAAAACACAGGGAATCATGTTTTTGGTATTCTCTGCTTTCAGCCGAGATCCATTAGGACATCAGCGTTGATATTCCTTGTTCCTTGTTCTCTTCTGAATCTGGCATGAATTTCTGGCAGTTCTCTGTTTATATTGCAACAGTTTTTGAATTATTTTCAGCAAAATTTTACTTGCCTGTGATATTAATGATATTATTAAGTTAGTATGACTACTATTCAAATTTATGCTCTAACCACTAAAGCAAAATATAAAGAAACTGAAGTTTTTTTTTCTTAACCAATTTCTGCAGTCTGAAATGATCAAACATGCAGTCAAGATGCATTGCTAACTACTAGAATACACAGAGTCACTGTACCAAAAAGAATTGGTCGATGTTCATCCATTTTCAGGAGGTGGCATATGATCAAGAACCAATAGTATCGAAGGAAGAAGTCGAAGCTGCACTGAAGGAAGTGGTGAAAAACAAGGCTCCAAGAATTGATGGAATACTCATTGAGATGTTTCAACAAACCGATGCCATGCTGGAGGCACTCAATCAGCTATGGCACAGAGATTTGGAAGACAGCTCCCTGGCCAACTTACTGGAAGAGATCCATATTTGTACCCATTTCAAAGAAAGGTGATCCCACAGAATGTGGAAATTATCAAACAATATCATTAATATCACACACAAATAAAATCTTACTGGAGATAATTCAAAAAAGGTCGCAGCAGTATATTGACAGAGCACTTCCAGAAATTCAAGCTGGATTCAGAAGAGGATGTGTAATGAGGGATATCATTGCTGATGTCAGATGGATCTTGGCTGAAAGCAAAGAACACCAGAAAGATGTTTACTGTATAGATACATAATTTTTCATTGTCCATTCTTCTGCTAATGGACATTTGGGTTTTCCATTGTTTGGCTATTATAAATAATGTTGTTGTGAACATTCATGTATGGTGTAGACATATGTTTTTATTTCTCCTGGATATATACCCAGGGCTGGAGGAATTCTTTCTCTGTCAAAGTGAAGGTGCTCAATGAGATGGGAAGAGAAATGACAAACCTGGCTAGTTAGAGCTGTGAACTTACTCCAGGTACCTGTGGGCTTGGGCAGCCTTCTGGTGAGACCTATCTGCCTCTTGAGAAATATGGGCCTCATTTTTATATTCTGCCTTCACATATCCTAGAGTGGGACATTCTAACTCACAACTTTTATAAAGAGGTAATTGAGTCACACTAGTCTACAATGCAAGTCTGACTATAAGATTTGTTGTTGGCTGCCAATGAGTTAGCCCCAACTCATGGAGACACCATATGCACAATTGAAGGAAATACTGCCCCAGAGGGAAATGTTGCCTGGCCCTGTGCTGTCATCCTGACCAGTTGCAAATCAGACTGGTTGCAGATCAGATGTTTGTGATACACAGGATTTTTGTTTTGTGGTGAAAATATATATAACAAAACATACGCCAACTTAACAGTTTGTACTTGTACAATTCAATGACATTGATTACATTCTTCAAGTTGTAGAACCATTCTTGCTAACTTTTTCCAAATCATTCTACCACCATTCACATAAATTCAATGCCTCCCTAAGCAAAAGCTCCCCCTTTTCCTACTATCCCCAGGTCCTGGAAACCACTAATACACTTTGGTTTCTACATATTTGCTTATTTCATGTAAGTGAGGTTATATATTTGTCAATTTTGTGACTTATTTCAGTCAGTGTGATGTTTTTTACGGTCACATGTTGTGGCATTGTGGGGCCTGAAAGATCTTTTAACGTGGGGCCTGAAAGATCTTTTAACCAGAAGCCTTTAGTATGGAGATAGACACGTCCCATGCTGAGCCCTAATGCCTCCAGGTAGATCTTTTTAACCAGAAGCCTTTAGTATGGAGATTGACACATCCCATGCTGAACCCTAATGCCTGTAGTATAGAGATTAAAACGTCCCATGCCTCAGAGCCTTTTTATCAGAAATCTGCATGGCTCCAAAAAGCCTCTCGCCCACCTTTGAAGACTCCAAGGGCTCTTACCTCCCCGGATTTCACAGGGAGTATGCACATATCAAAGAGATCCACCCGGCCCCCGAAAAATCTCTCACTCACCTTTGAAACCAGGGGGATTCCAACCTGCCTGCAAATTCCCAAACCCCTGTCATAAAAACCAAATTAT